ACGGGGCACTAATGAGGAGATTATACAGAAAGAATTAATATGCAGGAATAATCCTTAATTTTCAGTCTCATCATAACTACAGGCTGAATACCGGAATACTATGGAGTTTAATCATCATAAGCTTACGACTAGCGAATACTGATTTTTGGGACGAGGAGTTGACAAACTGATGCGGATTTTCCTTAGTCACGGGTGCCCCAGAGAATTTATTGGGAAAAATGTAGGGCTTCTAAAAGGCTGATTTAAACTCGGATTTTATGAAAATCCAAACAGGAATCAGGAGGACGACCAGAAGTGGATTTGCCTGCCCTTATCGGAACCTAGTCAAAAATTGCGACCGATACTAATGCAATGGAATATTAAGGTGATAACAAAGGAGAAGACAACACTATTTTGCCGACGCAAAACGAGAAGACTGACAAATTTGATTGTTCGGGAGGTTATCGCATCAAATGCGGCAACTGTGAGCAGGAAGAAAAACCTTTCTACGAATCAAGGAACATCAATGACTCCGTAGGAATATGGATACGAAAAGATGTGAAATAACGGAACCCATTTCACGAACCGGACACGAAATCTACTGGAAGTCGACCGGAAGGCTCGCTGCATATGGTGAAAATACGAAAAAATGCAAGATCCGAGAGGCCATCGATATACTGACCAAGAGATATCTAATGAACAGGAGATTTGAATAAGGCGGGATCAGCGAAATCTTTGCATATTGGCTAAACAAACTCGGAGAAGACCAGGCAACAGTAAAATCAGCAAAATGAAGACGACTGGATCAAGGTAACATCCTTAATTTTAGGAAAATAAATCGCAAAATCACTACAATTTTGGGTTGGCACACAAGAGACTAGGACATAGGAAGTGATAGACATGGTATTATGGATAGAAACAGGATAGACGCGGTGGAAACTAGAGCTATTTTGTCAACAATAGACGAGTTTGATAATAGTTGTGGTCCATGAAGCACATCTTTTGCTAGTCAACTAGCTCTAGTATCCACCGTGTCTATCCTATTTCTAACCGTACTATTAAGTCTATCACTTCCTATGTCCTATTCTCTTGTGTGCAAACCTACAAATTCCGTGGCACTGATTGCTCTGATTAGGTTCAATGCTGGACCTCAAAATTTGTGGGTTGCCACAAAAGAGACTAGGGCATAGCAAGTCATATACCTTGTATTAGAGATAGAAACAGGATGGACGCGGCGGAGACTAGAGCTAGTTGGCTGACAGTATGCCTGTTTTACTATAGATATGTTCCATATTGCAAGAGTTTGACTATGAGTATAACCAGGGGCTTTATCCTCAAAGTAGTCTCCCAGACGCAGAGTGTGTAAAATAACAGTTCGTGAACCACAGATGGGGTGACCGAGGTCGAGTAAAATAATTAAGCCAGAGAGATAGCAAATGATAGGGAGACTCTGGTAAGGCCTAAGGAAGGATGACTACGTAACAATATGGCAGACTCTGATCAACATTCCCAGCTTAAGGGTGCAGGTGGGTGGAAATGTCAGCGTGGAGTGTGCAGGATTCTCATGAAAGCCTTTCAAAAGGGCACACTACACTACATTTTAATAAGCAAGAAAAAATTCTGATTTTGAACGGGTGATACAAGGATATAGGATTGGTGATTAGCCCAGGGGGGAAGGAGAAATACCACAATTGTTTATCAGACAATTGTTCAAAGGATCGGCTTAACTTGTCTCTGACGCGTTGTAGTGTTGTTCTAAGTATGGCAAGACTCGCTGGTTATGCTGACTACTATGAGGCGAAACGTCTGGCAATTTACCACATCCAAGGTCCGACTGGAAATTATCATACATACAATGCACTCCGGATTGTGTGCGTTTCTCTAAGTCTTCCTACCAATATGACCAAGTTGCGAAAACAACCAACGGAGTCTGTGACCACACAAAAGTCCACAGACCGAATTAATATGCTGGAATAATCCATTATTATCTGAAAATCGGAATACTGAGGAGTTTGATCATCAGAAGCTCATGACTAACCGACACTGAATTCTTGAACGAGGAATTGGACAAACGAATGCGGATTTGCCTTACTAACGGGTATCCTAAAGAAATTATAGAAAAAAATGTGAAAGTTATAAAGGGCAGATTTCAACTCGGATTTCATAAACATCAGATCAAGAATCAGGTCGATCAGAAGTGGATTTGCCTGCCAAACCTGCTCAACTGAGTCAAAATTGAGACCGCTACAAATGGAATGGAATATCAAGATGATAACACAGGAGAAGACAACGCTTCCATTAGTCTGCCGATGCAACACGAGAAGGCTGACAAACTGGATTGCTCGGGAGTTTATCGCAACTGTGGGCAGAAGTATACAGGTGAAATGGGAATAAAAATCGGCCTGCGAATCAACGAACATGGATATGGAAAGATCCGAAATAGCGAAAACACATTGCGCAAATAGGACTCGAAATCGACTGTAAATCAACAGTGGGACTGGCTGCATATGGTTAAAATACGAGAAAATGCAAAATCCTAGAGACCATCGATATTCTGACCTAGAAAAATCTGATGAACAGGAGACTTGAAGAAGGCTGGATGAGCAGTAACTTTCCATCTTGTCTAAACAAACTCGGAGAAGACCAGCTAACAGCATGAGCAGCAAAATAATGACGACTCGGGCAAGATAATCCCTTTAATTTTAGGAAAAGATTTTGCAAGAAGACCAGAAAGGAACAATCAGAATCCATGAGGAGACGTCATCAGGGAGCCAAACCAAAACAAGTAGTATCACAACATTTGTGGGTTGGCACACAAGAGACTAGGACATAAGAAGTGATAGGCGTTGCATTAGGAATAGAAAAGGGATAGATGCGGTGGAGGCTGGAGCTATTTGGCTAACCTTATACATGTTTGATCATAAACGTGATCCCTAAACCATGTCTATTATTATCCAACTAGCTCTAGCCTCCACTACGTCTATCCTGCTTCTATTCGTAATACCAAGTCTATGATTTTCTATGCCCTAGTCTCTTGCGTGGCAACCCACAAATGTTGTGATTCAATATTGAACGTAGTAAAACAAGCAGTAAAACAACATTTGTGGGTTGTCACACAAGAGACTAGGGCATAACAAGTCATAGACTTGCTATTAAGGATAGAAACAGGATAGACATGGCGGAGACTAGAGCTAGTTGGCTGACAGTAAACCGCTTTTACCATTAACGTGGTTCATGAAGCAAAGGCTTGACAATGAGAATTACTCGGGGTCTAGTACACGCAGAGTGTGGGAAATGGATGGAGTCGTGAGATTGAGTGAACTTCTTAAACCAGGGAGATAGCAGGCGGATCCTATGGGGCAAGAGGGAGACTCTGATCAGACCTAGGGAAGGAGGACTGCGTAACAATATGGCAGACTCTGATCAACATTCCCAGCACAATTGTGAAGGGATGTGAACTTGTGAAAAAACCAGCGAAACGTCTGGGAATTTACCACGTCCATGGTCCGATTTTTGAAATTATCATGCATACAATCCTGACTACGTGCGTTCCTCTAAGTCTTCTTACCAATATGACTAAGTTGCGAAAACAAGGTCAAAAAACTTTTATACAGCGAAAGTAGACTGCGAACACACAAAAGGCCACGCCATCTTGGTCTTCATACCATAGATTAAATTTTTTACTTTGATATAAAATATGGAATCTAGAATAGTTTAATCTAATCTAACCTAATCGATTCGTAGATAAACTAGGACAATGTAATGTAATGTAATGTACTCGAATCGAATCGAATCGAATTGAATCGGATATAATCTAATCTACTATAATCTACTCTAATCTACTCTAACCTAATCAAATATAATCAAATCAAATCAAATCTAACCTAATATAATCTACTCTACTCTACTCCGATCTAATATAATATAATATAATCTAATTTAATCTTATTTAACCTAACCTAGCCTAACATAATCTAATCTAATCTAATCTAATTATATCTAACTTTATATTATCTTATTTAGTCAAATCCAATCCAATCTTATTTAATCTGATATAATCCAAGCGATTCTAATTTAATCTACTCTGGTACATAAATATCATACTATGAAAAGAATTGAGCTCTCATCCCTTTATAATAATTTTTTATTGCATAAAATTACTTTATTATAAATATTTTTAATATTCTGTCCTCTTGGCATGTGGTGAAGGGATTTTCATTACTAACTATTATTAGCAGAGAACTATTAATCTAAATAGACTATAGGGAGCATCTTTTAGTAAAAGCTATAAATAATTTAGGGCGATTTCAATGAACTTATTATGTATTTATAATTATTTGAATGAGATACAGGGTAAATTGTCCTAAAATAAATTTTTAAATCCTTACATATTAGCATATGATAGACTACTATGTTGGATAAAACCACCCGTTCATGAATTTGTTTCGAATTCGCTGTTGTTGACAGTGATTATTTCGCAGGGCTGAGTACTGGAAGATGGTCTCAGTCGCATATTTTTCCTTAAATGATTAAATCAAGTGTGAAAAATATGTTGTGTTCATTATATAAGAGAGTCACTCGAATATATATAAATACTATTATTAGATGTATTCATCCTATTTTGTTTAAGGTGAGGAATGACCGGTAGTTAAATTCTCGTTTAAAACCACTTACTTATAAATAAAAATACCTAATCTAATATATTGCTGTAGCAACTACAACTTTGCTTCAACGACAATCCCATCATATAAGGTAATATGGGAAAATACCTGGCCTTCCTTGAAATTCACATCCTCCATTTTACCCAAAGACATTCGTGGTATTGTTGAGTAGTGGTCAATATATCGAGATCGTACGCTGCAGTATTATGGTTCGAGTCCCGCTGAGTGTCGATAAGACCTAGATGAGATCGAAACTGCAGTTCACCCTGGATGAAACTTCCTTCTTGGAAGGCAAGTCTGGGTGAAATTTAACGGAAACGTAGGGTCTACTTAAATCAATGTGGAAAAATTCAATTGCTCGTCCTTCATCACCTTAAACGAAATAGAGTGAATAAAAGTTGTTTGACCTTGTTTTCGCAACTTGATCATATTGGTAGGAAGACTTAGAGGAATACACCTTGTCCGGAGTCCATTGTATGCATAAACAATTCCAAAATCGGACCGTGGACGTGGTACACTCCCAGACGTTTCGCCAGAATTGTAGTCAGTGAGTCTCACCATTCTTAGTACCATACAACAACTCGTAAAAAAGACACGTGAAGCCGATCCTTTGACCAAACGTGGGTTAAACAGTTGTAATATCTCTTCTTCTGCCTTGCGCTATTCACATTTCCTATATCCTCCTATCACTCCTTCACTGTTACAATTTTTACCGTGCTTATTTCGATGTAGTTTGGTGTGTTTCTTTGAGCGGCATTCATGAAAACCCTTCACACTCCACGCTGTTGTTCTCACCCTCTTCATCCTTGTGTTGGGAATGTTGATCAGAGTCTGCCATATTGTTACGCAGTCCTCCTACACTAGGTCTTATCACA